CCCCCCCCCCTCCCCCGACAGAGAAACTGACCATGTGAATGCTGCTTTGGTCAAGCATTTCCAGCATAGATCCACACCACCGAACCGTCCTCGGCATGTTTTGCTCGTTGCCACCGAAGTTGCTGCATAAGGAAGCCAGCACTGCCAAGAATGATGCAATCTCGGGCACGAAAGGCATGGACGACTTTTCCGCGACCGCTCGGGCCGAATCCACCACAGCGCTCAAGGCATCCTTCATCACCGAAATTCGCCCCCCACACCCCTCGCCGATCGGTTCGTCCTCAGACAGAGACGTCAGCGTTGACCCTGCTCGTATCCCATCGGTGTTCTGAGATCGCTGCGAGTCGGAAAGTCTCTGCAAGACCTTCATCTCAGGTGTATTGTCCATGGTTACCGCGCCATCGTTCGACAGCGAAATAAGTGCCCTAGCTAGAGCAGACGCTTCTTCGTACGTCGGTAGCTCTGCTGAATCCACATCTCGTTGCACAGGGCTGTGTTGTTTTCGTCTCTTTCTTTTACGACCAAGGCAAAAGCAATAGGCGAGCGCGCCAACAAGTAAAGCTCCGCTGATCGAGCCGCTCATTGTCTGCAGCTGATGTGGGCGCGGTCATTGTTCCTGATGAGGAGGGCGCGGCGGTGCTAATGGCGGGATTGTCGGGCAGTGAGGATAGTGAAACGGGTGTTGGAGACGTCGGCGACACTGGGGCGTCTGGAATATAATCACAACGCAGGACAGGGAAGAGGCGGCGACAACATAAGCAGACCACACTGTCACCGGCTGCTGGGAGAACCGCAAAACACTGGGTGCTCAAAACACCCAAGAAACACAGTTGAATATCTTGCCCAAGGAGGCAAGAGGTGGGCGCCCCTCCGGCGTATTGGTGAAATCTACGAGCACCCACAACGCGCACGGTTGGGGGGACGCGGGTGGTACACGTTAAAAGAGTTGAAGTTGGTGACAGCCACAGAAGGCGGCAATAACAAAGCAACAGGTGGTGTACAAGGTGGTGTCCCCGAGGATGACCAGCTACATCTATGCAAGCAAATGATGCGCATAGCAGGAGCTACACGGGTGGTTAGAAGTAAAGCGTTGTTTAGCGACAACAAAAGAGCATGGTGAAACCAACATTTGGCGACTATTCGAGCAGGTCGTGCCAAAGCAATGTCAGTCCTGTACTCCGACCGTTTCCGAGTTTATCACTTACCCGATGAAGTCGGCGGTAGTGTAGGGGGTGGTGTGGGAGGTGACGTCGGAGGTGGTGTCCCCACGAGGGCATCAGTGAATCCTGTGCACGCACACGACGCGCACGGCGTGTGCGACAAGGGTGCTGTATTAGTGTTTGGAAACGAAGCCATCGCTGCGAGCATTTGTATGATTTGCATACAGGAAAATTGAAATACATGATACTGGCCTAACACGTTTCGGGTAAGTCAAGGTGCTTGCGTGTGGTGCGCGACAGCAAACAGAAGGTGATCGACAAAAGCTACGTCGCCAATAATTCAGTATTCCCGGGTCGGTCCCTTACCCGACGAGGTCGGCAGTAGTGCAGGAGTTGATGTGGGAGGTGACGTGGGAGGTGTTGTCCCCACGGGTGCATCAGTGAGATCTGCGCACCCACACGATGCGCACATCGTGAGCAAAACGGGTGGTGTGCTTGTGTTTGGATACGAGTCCACCGCTACGAGCGCTTGTTTGTATGATTTGCCGACAGAAAATTGAAACACAGGGTACTGGCCGGTCTAACACATTCCGGGTGAGTCATGTAACTTGGGTGTGGTGCGCGTCAACTAACAGAAGGTGGTAGACTACACCTACGTTGACAAGAATCCAGTATTCCCGGGTCGATCACTTTCCCGCTGAGGTCGGTGGTAGTGTAGGAGGCGGTGTGGGAGGTGATGTGGGAGGTGGTGTTCCCACGGGTGCATCAGTGAGACCTGGGCACGCTCACGGTGCGGAGCAGGAGCGACAAGGTTGATGTGTGTATTTGGATACGAACGGTGACATCCACCGCTCCGAGCGCTTGTTTGTCTGATTTGCAGACAAAAAATTGGAGGACAGGCTCAAACATTCCGGTTGAGTTAGGGAACTTTCGTGAGGTGTGCGACAACTACAGTACGAGCCCGCAACTAGAAAGTTATATATGTACGAAACGAAAGAACGTACGGCTAAGAAACATAGCATAAGAAATGTTCCAATAAGAAACAGGATCGTGCGATACCTATGAGACATGAGAATCAAGGGGTAGCTGCGGAGCGTGTCCAGTAGAAAACGTTCCGCTGCCCCCTCTGCTGCTTCCTTTGCCCCTAGCTGTGGTGCATTGTTATAACCAAAGGGGTGAGAGTGACAATTCTCGTGTCGTTCCCCCGCGCCCCGCCGCCGCCGCGGGCTACGCTACTTCTGTAGTGCTGCCGCACGCCGCGGACGACCATACACTGTCTGGTAAACAGGGTTGGGCTTGAACAGGTTGTTTGACCTCGGAGATCAATATGAGCTGTTTTGTTCTACTAGCAAGAAACAAGAACAAGATGAAACACGAGCTCGGCCATTGGGCCCCCCACAGAAGAAAATCAGCAAGATTCGACAGCCTGAAAAGTAGAAGAAAGTTATTGACTTCTGCTGATCCTTCGTCCCAAAATAAGGAATCGAGGCTCGACCCGATCACAACGTTTCTTGTCTTCGGGCCCTTACTGCAACAGAAGGTGGGGGACTCTACATCAACCAGAATTCGGCATTCCCGGGTGGATCACTTACCCGACGAGGTTGGCAATATCGAGCGGTCAGGAGCAGTGGGAGGGAAAGGGCGCTATCCCATGTGGTTCAAACTGAACGCGGCGGCCTACACACGGGAGATCTGCCCGTGCCACGGTCAACCGGTGGGCAACAACGGCGCGGCGAAAGTTCTCCAGGTACCTCGGAAGCGTATCATCGAGTGGCTGAAGCAGGAGGAGCAGCTCATGGAGAAGGTCAGCGCCAACCCCAAGCTTTCGAAGGCCAAGCAGGTTCACAGCGGAGGGAAAGCTTCGACAGTCGACGCCGAACAAGCCCTTGTGGACTACATCAAGGAGCAGCGCAAGCAGCACCGCGGTTGTGGTAATCGGGAGGTGATGAACAAGCTGCTCGAGCCGAAGCCTAACGCCCTTGGCGGGATGCCGGCGAACGCAAAACCGGAGGAGGCGCTGGCTTTCAAGGTCAAATTTAACTCCTGGTACCAACGGTTCTGCAAGCGGAATGGGTTCAGTATCCGCCGGCGTACCAGCGTGGGCCAGAAACTGCCGAAGGGGTACGAGGGTATGGCGTGGGCGACGGTGATGAAGCTGCGCGAGGCTCTCGTAAAGCGCGCCGGTGAGATCTACGCTCGGCGCCACCCGCCGGCACCTGGCGAGAGCCCCATCAAAGGGGAGGATCTGACTTCCGAGCAGCTGGCGACTGTGGAGGCGGAGGTTTTTGAGGAACTTGGCAACATGGACCAGACGCTAGTCCAGCACGAGATGCCGGTGGAGACCACTCTGGAGAAGACCGGTGCTAAGGATGCTCGCATCAGCACAGGAGGTGAGGGCGAGCTAATATTTTTGTCAAAATTTTGTGTGGTGTGCGGATTTTTTGTCGTTGGACAATTTGTTAAGACACATAATTATTTTTTTGCGTGCCGGTACACTGTACGATGTAGCTCTATCGGTAGACACAGGAGGGTTGCTACCTTTTTCTGCGGGATTATTCTACACTTCCTTTTTCATTGCATCCAAACTATCAACCAACTTAGTTTTCGAAACGTCTGGAACCGTTTGCATCCATTGCATCAACCACACACCGCTGTCCTCGCAGAAATATTCAACACTCTACTCCCCCCCCGCC